ATTCATAGATTTCTTGTTCAAACTCATAATTTTTTTGTCCAAGTTCATTTTCTTGTTTATAATCTTGAGTATTAAAAGTATTTTGATATTTATTATTATCTTGTGATATAATAAATTGACTTGAATTAAATAAATGTCTTGGGTAATTATTTTTGTAATTATTAGAGTCTTGTTTATCTTTTTTAGATGCTCTTATTCGAAATTGTGAAGGTTCAAAGATTTCTGGTCGTAAAAGACGATGTCTAGACATGCTTTAATAGTTATATAATATGCTAAATAAATAAAAATGAAAAAAATTAGTTTTTAATTTTTAAAAAATAAAGGAAGAAATTAACGTTAAAAAGGATTAAAAATAATTGTTACGTCTTGATTAAAAAATATAAAAGCCACTTTTTTAAAAAAAATTTGTAAATAATATATATTTTGTTAACTTTGATGCATTCTGTAATTATCAATAATCAGCTTTATTAATTTTAAAAGATAATATCGTTGTTTAACTTTTTTAACAGCTGATTTAAATATAAAACCATTTGAATTCAAAAGAAGATAATACTATACTTTTTTGATTTAGTCTGAGACGCAGCATGTTGATCTTATGACAAGTTTATTTTAAGTATTTATTATTTATATACTATAAACTTTATAAAAAAAATCGATTCTTCTCTTTCTTTACAATTCAACATTATTGTTAAATGTGCAAAAATCTACTCGAGGTGGAAGAAAATCAAATATTAGAGGAGCAAAAAAGAAAGGAACTCTTGAAAGAGAAATATCTGAACCAAAAGAAATATCTAAAAAACAACAGCCGAAATTGGTAATATTCATTATTAATTTAATCATTTTTAATGATTAAATCTATTTATTTATTTATCTTAACTTATTTTTTAGAAATATCTGATGAATCTGTTCATGTTCCTGTTCGTGTTCCATTTGAACCAATTAATGCAAAAAACACTAATAATATGACACATCACCAAGAAGATCAAAATTTAATTTATAATGATAATTTGGATTATACTTCAACTAGTCATATAATTCATCAAAGACCATTATATAATATGGATCAAGTTTCAAATCGTAAACCAGCTAACATTTCAATTCAATCCAAATTTAAAAATCAAAACTTGATTTATGATACCCATTCACCAGTTGAAATGGATCAAGCTTTAATCTATAATTCAGATCACTCAATTCAATCCCAATTTAAAGAGCAAAACTTGATCTATGATATCCATTCACCAGTTGAAAATATGAATCGGTTACAAGCTTCAACTTCTAATACTGATTTGCGATACTATAATAAAACTCCATTACATAATGTAAATACTCATCATCCTCACCAATTTAATAATGTTAGACACAATATTAATCCTGATACAGAAAGTGAAATTTTTAAGAATTCTACCACATCTGAAAGACATCAGCAATATAGAAATTGGTCACAAAAAACTGC